GGAACGTGCTCTCCGCGACCCGGCCCGCCTGCTGGCCGTCTGCCAGCTGACCGACGACACTCAGAGGTGACCTGAGGTCAGGTCACAGCGTAGACCGGGGGCAAGGTCACAGGGATGAGGTCACAGCTGTGACCTAAGGTCAGGTCACAGCGTAGACCGGGGGCGAGGTCACAGGGATGAGGTCACAGCTGTGACCTGAGGCCAGGTCACAGCGGTGACCGGGCGCGAGGTCACAGCGGCGACCTGAAGGTATGCTCATGTGTGATCTGGTAACGTGGCCATAGCTCCCAGGTGGTCTGGGATGAGGTCACAGTGGTGACCTGGGGCGAGGTCAATGTGGTGACCTGGGACGTGTTATGGGCTACATGTATGTAACTCGGGCCCGTTTAATAGGCTGCTGCGGGGTCCATTCAATCATGTGAGGTGATTCTGGTAACACATAACGCAAACTATCATTTGATCCGCGCCGTGCTGGTGATCTGAGTTTCCCGTGGTGTGCGGGGGTGGGGCGTTTCACGCATCCCCCGTCTAACTCGGCTCCTGGGCCACGTAGCGACACGCAGTAAGCGGCAATTGAAAGAGCGTCAAAAATAATGAAGAAAATTCTTCGGTCATTCTTAGGTCAGGTCAAAGGTCAGGTCGCCAGAGGTCATCAAAGGTCAAATTTCGCCTATTTCAACAATTTTCGATGCACCAGCGCATAACTCAGGAACTAATAGAGCTGCAGCGCCGCGGAAAAGCGCATCTAATAGTTCTATTAGCCTTCATTCTGGAGTGTACCCTCGGATTTGACCGTAGGTCAACGATTTAACCCCAGAGGGTAAAAACTGAAAAATAGCCGTTTTTTACGAAAACATGCTTTTCTCCAATAACTTTTGATTCAAGAGAGTCTCGACATTAATTTGGCCAGCATCGTGTTCCTCTCGTCGAGACGCCTCGAATAAATTATATTTTGACTTTGAGAGGTCAATTTGAAAGTTTGATTTTAGGACAAGGTCATGACCTAACTGGAAAAGGTCATGTTGCACATCAGCCGATCCTTATCGTCGAACAGAACACATCTGTTGCGTTTCCATGGCTCTAGCATGCCTCTCAGCTGAAGTTATTAGCGAGAAACTGTTCAACCCTTTTGTGACCTGAGATGACCTCAAGGACATTAGCCGAGTGGTCACGGCCCACGGGTGCCTTTTCCGGTTTAGTGTGTCTTGTTTGTTTGTAATTAGGTATTTGAAAGTGTTAGAATGACGTTCGTCCAACACAGGCGCTTTTCAATTTCTCCGTTGACTGATAGTGGTAATGGAGAGGTCGCAAAATTGACGTGACCTTAGGTCACCGATATCGAAATTCCGAGACAAACATTTTGTACATACTGCTGCTCTAATCAATCGCTAAAGTTTCAAAGCGATCGATCACTCGGTGAAGCTATGGTCACTGATGTGACCTGGTGACCTGACCTCGATTGACCTGGGTCTGAAATTTAAACGTGTGGAAAAGATGTATGAACAGGTTTGCTAAAAACGGCAGCGTTGCTTTTGAGATATTCGCGAAAACCTGACGGGGGGGGGGGCGTGAAAACGCACCCCAGCACGGCGCGGGCTAGATAATTTTGTTATTTCTGTAGCTTGATTATTATAGTTTGATCGTAATTTAAACTACCGTCACGATTTGTATTCAATCATATCCTACTGATTTTATCGCATATTTTGATTATATCCTGTGGTCAGTACAAACACTAAAGGAAACTTCAAGGGCAATTTGTGGGTGAATATTTTAAATACACTACGGCAGCTTCATATATCCATGGATGAAGTATTCCTGGATAGGACACTCCCTATTCCCCAACACTAGCGCCGGCGACCAAGCGGCCGCCCTGGTGGCGGAGCGCCGAAACATCGGTGGCGAGTGTACCGGCGGCCGCCGCACCGGCGTGCGTGCTGAAAACCCGGTAATGGAGAGCGAAATTAGCGAGCTTTAGCTCATAACACACGATTTCAGACACTTCAAACATATTTTCTAGTCCTTTCTAATGATTATTATGGCTCCATTCAGCCACTATCACATACGGAACCATTACCTGATGCCCATAAACTGAGCCGGTATTCTTGACTTGCCGATGCAAATTTTTGCTAAATATCATCGTTCCTCGGCGGTCAAACAAGTCCTTAACGATGATTTAATATAAACGTCAACTTATTTTCATGTTATCGCATAAAACTTCACTCAGTTCTAACTTTGGCTCTTCGGCTGTAATCACGAACCCTCACTTGTCAGGAGAATTTAAGCAACTTCTTAAATTCAAACTGGGAAAATAATATTTTCAAGACATTCCTCAATTCCTATTCTACCAGGTTCACAAAAGTTTTCATCAAAATCGGTCACGGGTAAGCAATACACGACAAAAGTATACAAAAAGACACGATCCGCCCATAGCACGTAATGCTAAAATGGCGCCAGCGCCCTCGCCGTCGGAAAATCCGCCGCCGCCGTCGTGGTCGGAAAATCGGCTGAGTGTCCCATCCAGGAATACCTCATCCATGATATATCTTACCGTTACAGTTACTCTAACCGTGGCTCTTTTTTAGCTCAGTTGAACCATCCTGAGCTCTGTTCGGTCGCTGTTTTTATATCAGCATGCTGTCGGTTTTCCCCATGTAAGGAACTTATTGCTGGCGCTTCTTGGCCTCTCATTGGTCTAACGAATAGACCACTTGAATCCGACTAATGACTAATGAAGAGCCAAGAAGTAGCAGCATGCTCGCAGCCTGCTGATAAATAAACGGGTGGCGAACAGAGCTCAGGTAAGATTAGATGATCTTTTTCCTTGCTGGTATTGGTAAGTTCTCGGTTTAACGTAGAAAAGGTGATTTTTACATTACAATATGTGCTGAGTCCCCTCATGACCTAAATCTTTCGCAAAGCTATACTTTAAATGTTTGTGTATTGGGCCGGCTGGATTCGTTCAAAAAGTATTATCACCCTGGCTGCAGGCATTAAACTTGGTATGGCCCGAGTTATAATTTTAGTTTGAACTTTGCAAGCGGAGTTTACAGTATGTTAAAGCGTTATGTGTTATGTTAAAAGCGCGAAGTTGAAGCTGCAATCCATAATTAAGCTTGTGCGTTTTACTATGTCGGGTAATTTCCAAACAGCTGCTTTTTAACCCTAGAACGCCTGGGGGGGGGGTTGTATCAACCCCCCCCCCCTGAGGTTTTTTCGAAGTGCACGCTAAACGGCTTGTCGTAGCGGGCTGAAATTTTCAATACCCTCTGGGGCAACCTTTGCGCATCTTTTGCCGAAAAAAAATTGATCGGGTCATGTCAGGTCACGGAGTTATGACGTCATAAGAGGTACAGCCTCCGGCCGACAGTTACCAAACGTGTGCGCCGAATCCCTAGGTTTTCTGCCGGTGATACCCACATTGTTTGATGGATCATGATGAAACTTCCCATGCATGTTGGGGCAAGCATTGGCTATCGTGTGGTGCAAGAAAATTGACCGGGTCAGGTCAGGTCACGGAGCTATGACGTCACAAGAGGAACAGCGTCCGGTACTATTTTTGAAAAGCGCCCGAACCACTATTTTGCTAATTCTTGTCACCTCAATGGGAATATGCAGCAATATTAGCTTCTATAGGGAGCAAATGGACCTCCCAAATCCAAAAATACAATCAGATTTCAAAAATTTAAATTTTGATTTTTCGAATTTCTGCCGCCGACTGTGACCTTGCCGACTTCCGGCGCTCCCAACGCGCCATTTTTAGAGCTAGGGAAACGAAATACATACCAAACGATAGCGAATTGATCAAGGAACACGATAGTGAAGGTTTCAAGTCGATATCTCCCACCGTTTTGCCGCAATCGCCGCGGAAAGTTGAAAAAGTTCGATTTTTTCGGAAAATTTGACCTTTGACCGGTCATAAGTAGGTCAAATGTTGACCTAGGACCAAAAAATATACCACCAATCGCGAGATCTCGTTGAGGGCAATCCGTTGGTTTTTTCCGCTAAGCTCTACGACCTTCCGTTTCGAAACGCCAGGGGGGGGGGGTCGTAACAACCCCCCCCCCCCCTGGTCGTTCGTGTTATGAGAAATGGCCTGGTCGTGCGAGGGTTAAGATGAGTGTTTCGTTAAATTATCTAAGTGTTGTAAATGAGCTGTTCTTTTATTTGATGCTCCTTTGATGGGTGCGTTTCATTCTCCTTATCATTACTGTGCTGAATACATTTTCTAACGCGTTGGTAAACCAAGGCTGCTGATCGTTGTCAAAGCTGCTCTTGTATTTCATTCTTGACGGCGTAATACCATATTCGTGGTGCAATGCAGGTAGCCACACCATGCGTTGATGAAGAATATGTGTATTACGGTGTCCATTTGTAAGGACTGTTCATGGACAGTACCTCGTCTTGTTTTGTATGCGCACCTACTGTGATACGCGTATTGTCTCTTCGTCGTCTCGTTGTCATCCTGTGACGTGAAAGGGCTGTGACTCTTACAGTGCGCGGGAGTGACCGTGGTAGGTGTCTTCTCGTCACAAACAGCACATTATTTAGAATGGTTTATCGAAAAAGCTCGTTTCAGGGTCCGTGCGTTATTGGTGTTCGGTGGGTTCACCATATTGGATGCATAATTAGCATATGTAAGTAGCTGTGATATATTATTACATAAAAAACTTTCCGTTGTGTGCTGGTTTTGTTGCGCACTCAAATGGTTGACTCCTCAATTGTGTTTGTACCTCACGTGTGTGGTTGTATCTAAATGATGCTGCTCACTAATAAATTATTCATTTGGTAACCCATTTGTGTTGGAATGTCACATTGCAAGTGTCATCTCGTTTTATGATCGGATGGTGCATGCCACTTGGTGGGATTATTTTCGACCAGTGAAACAGCCAATCGAATTATAGATGCAATGGAGTTTTATGCGCACCGCGCGCACTTCCGTTCACCTTGATCGCTGAGTCATGGGGTTGTCTCGTTAGTCAATGTCGTATCTTCGCGATGCTTCCGGCACACCGAAAGCAGCTCTGACGCCACCACATCGCACTTACCTGGGTCGCCTGGGCGCCCCCACCGGCGTCCCGCCGTCAGTGCCGATAAGATAGGCGCGGCGGTGGTATCGAACACCCGACACCGGTCGGCAGCGTCCACTTCCCGCCGCGACGTCTGGTCGACGGGTGCTCTGTAGGCATTCTCTGCGGTTACCGACCGACCGCGCCCTCTGATCTCTGATCGCGCCGGCCCTCAGCGATCATCTGTCTGCTGCTGCGACCGCTGCCCTCAGAGACCGTCGGAGGTAACTGATCACGACCCCGGAGCGCGGAGCGATGCGAGTGGTGCGCGTGGCGGCGCTGTGCGCGCTGCTGGCGGCGGCGGCGGCCCAGCCGGACACCGAGGACCTGCCGCCTGTGGACGAGCTGGTGCAGCAGCTGGTGAGCGGCGAGCTGACTCCTAAACAGGTGGTCCTCATGACACCCAACATGCCGCCCGCCTACCTGAACGACGTCAAACACAGTCTGCCCGACGAGCTGAAACAGCAGATTGTGGAGCTGGTGCACGGTATGGCCTCCGAGACGGAGCCGGAGCCGGAGCCGGAGCCGCAGCCGGAGCCGGAGCCGGAGGAGCAGACCGGAGAGGACGAGGAGGAGGACTATACCGACGACTACGACCTGGAGGAGGAGGAGGACGGCGCGGCCGAGCAGTCGGCAGACCTGCAGGCGGCCGAGGAGCCGGCCGCGGCGCCCGGCGGCCAGCAGCCCCCGCAGTACCCCGGCCCGGTGCTGCGCGCCAGCGCTGTGGAGACCACCGGCGGCAGTGCCGGCCTGCGGGCCGACCCCATGGGGGACAGCGGGAGCGGCAGCAGCGGCGGCAGCAGCAGCGTCTCGGAAGGTCAGGGCCACTCCCGATAGATGGATGGTTCTACCATAGACAGACGCTAATACGTCCCTGCGTCTGGCATCTCTAATAATTAGCGCAGCTGAGATAATCACACCAACATGCCCTTGTATACGTTGCATAAGACTTACTTCGGTTGCGTGTATGAAGTTTACGTATATAATGAATCCCCCAGTGTCTTTGGTTTTTCATACAGTTCTATTTTTGTTAGGTGCGAAACTCCTCAAGGCTATTTTTGCCATTTTGTACAATCAACTTATTCAGCTCGTCTATGCATGTTTTGGTTTAGTAGAAGATGAACGTCCAGCTTTTTTTGGACAAGCAGCCTCTGTCGCTCCCTGTTCTGTCAGCAGCCTGTCTCTCAGTCTCAGTCTCAGTCTCAGTCTCAGTCTCACTGTCCCCTGTCTGGCCACAGGCGGTGTGGTGCCGGGCGTCGGCTCCTCAACTCCTCTGGATAATACCTCAGCCGCCAAGAAACTGCTGGAGTTCTCCAAGATAGAGAAGAATGCCTGTCAGGCGCGCTTCAAAGATGCCTTCAACTTCTATACCAAGGACCCCACGGGGGGCCCGAGCAAGGCGAGTAGCTGTAGACGCCAGCCGCGGCTATAGTCAGGTAGCACGCATACGTTGTGGGGTTACACGAGTGGTCATGGTATCATGGCACATTAACTTTGCTGGGTGAGGGAGAAGGATTGCCATTTAGGTCATGATTCAAGACATTGCCGGTTTTCAACCGATGACCTGCAAGCGACCACCTGAACATGCACTGGTTAGTGGTCATATCATGGTTGCCAGTGGTCCGCACGGCTGCGTCCATGTAGCGTCTATCCAACGTTCACCATTTCCCGTCGAGGCAGCGTTCACTGAACACAACTGGAGACTAACCGACGCTGCCCGTGTCCACAGGTGACCTCTGAGGCGAACTACATGAAGGTGTGGCGCGAGTTTGCCGGTAACGCGACCCAGTACGACCTGTCCGGTATCGACCGCACTGACCTGATGGCCGTCTTCATGCTGCTGCGGCACGCCGGCCCGGCGGCGCTCAGCGACTCCCAGCTGTCGGAGGTGTGTACAGCGAGAACCAGACGGGACGGGACGGGACGGCTTACCGTATGGACGGATGGCTCTTCACGGGCATGTTCTGCGATTTAAATTTTCTGTCTTTTTCAGCTCAGCACAGCCATTACTAACCTGGAGACGAAGTTCGCGACGCCCAGGGTGTGCGATTTCTACGACTCGTCGAAGTGCGACCTGCAGCTCTACCGCGGTGAGTAGCTGGTTCAGCTGAGGCTAGCGTTATGGAATGGTATGAGAGATAGCTCTCATCATGTCGGTTTGTCGATGCTATCTTCGCTTGCGTGTATCTACGCTTCAGGCAGCTCATTTCCTTAGTCAGTTAAGTTCCTCGTCGGCGGACGGTCCGCACGCCGCGCTGACGTGTCTCTGCCCGGCCGCGCTGACGTGTCTCTGCCCGGCCGCGCTGACGCCGGCTCCGCTCCCTGTCCCGGCAGATATCCGTGTGAAGCTGGCCGCCTCCACCGACCGCGATGAGCTGAAGCACTACTGGCTGGCGTGGCGCGGCGCTGTCGGACGCGACGCCGCCCCGCACTACCAAAAATACGTCAACCTGCTCAACATTGCCGCCAAGAGCAAGGATCGTGAGTCTTACCAGCGCCCGGCGCTTGTGTGCGTCTGCACCGAACGCAACGGAGCTCAGTGTAACGCATTGAGACATTAAAATCATGGAGAGGAGCTGAAATGTCTTAATTTAATTTATTCAAGATTGTGTATGATTTTTGTTTCTGCTAATGCTAATTGCGGTATGTTCCTTCAAACATTTGAATTTGTATTTTACTGAAACAAAGCCACCTAATCAGTCTTCAAACATACCTTCGCCGTTCTGCAATATTTACTGGTGTCTCGAATACTTATTCAAACTTGGCCAGATACGCCAACGACTTTGCAGGCGCCATGAGCCGTTGCCTCGTTATCTAGGTGTAAAAGCAGGTTCGGTCATGGCGGCGTTGCCCAACCGAGGATCTTATGGCTGCAAGAGGTGCTGATAAGGCCGGTCTGATTGGTGTTCGGGGTATTTGTTCGGCCGTATCACTGCTGCGGCGTGTCGCATCCAAATATGGTGTGCTCGGTTTATCGAAGGTTCTTGCGCGGCGTGACTTATTGAGCTGACGTCATACCTTTCGAGGTAGCGTGGCTTCTTTGAGCCACCCATGAGCCACTTTGAGCCGTGGTCATGAGAGCATTCAATGCTCTCATGAATATCTATATTATGATTTATAACATGTCTGTACGTGCGTGCCTGCGACTGTCATGCCTTATGTGTCTTAATGCGCCTGAAAGGCGCCGCGTATTGGCGTGAAATTTTGTGGGCACAATCTTTGGGTTGAGGCGACCTTTGTATTAAAATTTGGGAGTCATCGGCCCAGGGGTGCGCCGTCAGCACGCGCTCGCGTGCGCCATAGGGTTTACATGGCAAACGGTCAAATCGAAGATCGGGCGAAAACCGGCCTGCGGCGCCCACTTCCCGGGCCCAAAACTCGGCGACAGATTGCCGTAGCGAGGTGGGGTTGCCACCACTGGATAGAGGAGAGATGGAACTAGCGTATTGATATGGTTTCATAGTATAGCACGCGCCACGTGCAAGACAGCACCCCCGGTTGTCAAAAAATGACCGATTTCGTGCATTGTGACGGGAAAATCGATGACGCTGGGAAACGGCTTGACGGAATGAAATCGGTGTGGTGCCATTTTGCAGGCAAATGTACGTGTAGTCAGAGGATAGCAGATAAAAAGTGATGATCCGTACCATTTCTTTAATAATGAAAAATTAATTTGAAAATTTGATTCGCGCGGAGCGCGGTGTCCTTTACAACATCAAAACGTATTGAAAACGCTGATCAATGGCTATGAAACCTACATATTCGGAAAGAGCATTCTTTTCTGACCAATATCCACTGATTATCCAATGATTGGGCAATTTGCCCAATCATCTATGAAGTTGTAAGACTTGTTGACACAGATCCAACGATTATGAAACTAACTGCATCCACTTCAGGCTGCAGCTAAAGATATACTCAAACCGGGGGCGGCTCGCACTCATCAGCTGGCCGACCGATGCGCGGTCGGGCCGTTATCTGACCCGGCCCCGACCCTCTCCCCTGATCAGCCGACTCGGACGGCTCTGCTCTGCTGCTCTACCCGTACCGGCACGGCAACGTGGGCAGCATCGTCAGCCTGCTGGAGGAGCTCTGGGAGGAGCACATCTCGCCCGTCTACGAGCAGCTGCACTCGTACGCCCGGCTGCGGCTGCGCCAGCGCTACGGTGTGGACGCGGTGCCCGAGGAGGGGCCGATCCCGGCCCACCTGTTCGGCAGCCTCGAGGCCGACGACTGGAGCGCCCTGGAGCCGCTCCTCAGACCGTTCGACAACGCCAGCTCGGTCGACTTCCACCGGCAGTGCAACAGCCGGGTGAGAACTGGGCGCTGAGGGGGTGGGAGGGTTAGAGTGGGGTGACAGCTCGGTGAGCAGTGTAACGGCGCTGAGGGGGGAGGGGCTGGGAGGGTCAGAGTGGGGTGACAGCTCGGTGAGAACTGGGCGCTGAGGGGGTGAGAGGTCAGATAGCTCGGTGAGCAGTGTAACGGCAGGTGAGAACTGGGTAAGTGAAGGCAAGAGTGTGTGAGAAATGGTGCGCCTGCTGCTGGTGCTGGTGCGTTTTGGGGAATTTGGATCATTTGTATTGCAAACAATGCGATTGGTGAGTTATTTTATCTATTCTCAGCGCCACTGCGTCTTCACTGCGTCTTTCAGCTATACATTTATTATCATTGCAAATGAGGAATTAGATTGCAATTTAGTCTGTAAGCTGCCAGTCCTCTGCAGTACCATCTGATCCTCTCAGTGATGCATGTCAACTAACTTTGACATGCATCCCTCCCTGATGGTTTGACTGTTGTCCATCCTCAGAACATTGACGTGGGTCGTCTGAAACAAGAGGCGGGCAGCCTGTACTCTGACCTGGGCCTGGGCAAGCCCTCCGTGACTGAGATGTCCTTGTCGCGGCTGAATGTGGCCGCCGCCGACTCTGACTCGGTGCTTTTCCTGCCGCGCGTGCTGGACGGGTGCCACACCGATATTCAGACGTCCGTGTAAGTAGCAGCGTGTCGGCCACAATAGCCCAGTGATGGTAGAGAGGGTAGGATATGGAAGGAAGGGTATTCAGGATTGGAAGGTGTTACTCCGTTTCTTGTACTACATATCTGCTCGAAATTATTCGCCGAGAATGCGTATGCTTCTTGCCTTCTCCGTCACCGCTGTTCCTGTGTGCTGCCCTCTGACTGACACCGCTCCCTCCCTGCCCTCTGGCTGACACCGCTCCCTCCGTGCCCTCTGGCTGACACCGCTCCCTCCGTGCCCTCTGACTGACACCGCTCCCTCCGTGCCCTCTGGCTGACACCGCTCCCTCCGCGCTGCCCTCTGGCTGACACCGCTCTCTCCGCGCTGCCCTCTGACTGACACCGCTCCCTCCGTGCCCTCTGACTGACACCGCTCCCTCCGTGCCCTCTGACTGACACCGCTCCCTCCGTGCCCTCTGGCTGACACCGCTCCCTCCGCGCTGCCCTCTGGCTGACACCGCTCTCTCCGCGCTGCCCTCTGACTCACACCGCTCCCTCCGTGTCCTCTGACTGACACCGCTCCCTCCGTGCCCTCTGGCTGACACCGCTCCCTCCGCGCTGCCCTCTGGCTGACACCGCTCCCTCCGCGCTGCCCTCTGGCTGACACCGCTCTCTCCGCGCTGCCCTCTGACTGACACCGCTCCCTCCGTGTCCTCTGACTGACACCGCTCCCTCCGTGCCTTCTGGCTGACACCGCTCCCTCCGCGCTGCCCTCTGGCTGACACCGCTCCCTCCGCGCTGCCCTCTGGCTGACACCGCTCTCTCCGCGCTGACACCGCTCCCTCCGTGCTCTCTGGCTGACACCGCTCCCTCCGCGCTGCCCTCTGACTGACACCGCTCCCTCCGTGCCCTCTGACTGACACTGCTCCCTCCGCGCTGCCCTCTGACTGACACCGCTCCCTCCGTGCTGACACCGCTCCCTCCGTGCTCTCTGGCTGACACCGCTCCCTCCGTGCCCTCTGGCTGACACCGCTCCCTCCGCGCTGCCCTCTGGCTGACACCGCTCCCTCCGTGCCCTCTGACTGACACCGCTCCCTCCGCGCCCTCTGACTGACACCGCTCCCTCCGTGCCCTCAGACTGACACTGCTCCCTCCGTGCTGCCCTCTGACACCGCTCCCTCCGTGCCCTCAGAGCCGTCTACCCGACCAACACGACCCTCTCCGACTACGTGGAGCTGATCGAGCTGTTCGCCACGATGCAGCGCTTCAGGGAGCGCTACGACTCTCTAACCGCAGACAACATCGGCTTCCCCTACAAGGACCGCATCGGCTATAACGACTACGGTCAGTCAGCCGCGTGTTGTGTCCCCCCCCCCCCCGGGGGGTCTGGTGTCAGGCTAACATAGACTCACGGGTTTCGATGATAATTGATAGGTTAGTCAGGACGTGTTTTACTTTCGATTTGGCTTCTGTTAATTGCCATCCTATCAATCAGTGAAATAAGTTTATTTTGTCATGAGTCATGACTGTTCTTATTTATTTATTTACTATTTGCTCGTTAATTCTGTTTGACCTGTGACCGGTGGCGGCAGGCCTGGAGCTCGCCATCGGCGGCGCCCGCGCCCTCTCCGCCATCTCTCCGGAGGGACTCCAGCAGAAGCTCAACTTCCAGCTCCCCGATACCAGCGAGCAGGCCGCTCTCAACTTCCGGATGGCCGAGGCCCTCAAGGTAGGCCTAGGCCGGTGTCTGGCGGAGCGACCGTTGGGGGGTGGGCAGTGGAACTGTTGAGTGCTGAGTGCTGAGCTCGTGTGCAGCGCGCCTCTGAGACTGAGGCGGCAACTCAGCCGTGCATCCGGTGCTCCGATTCCCAAGTCGTGGTTTTATTATGTCTATTTTATCATTTTTGCTTGTTTTAGAGCGAATTCTAGATACGATTGGCATTATAAACGTAATGCAAACATTCTGGGATAACTTATTTAGGACTCTGAGACACCCACCGTGTGAACTCTTCTGGGCCCGGTTCCGGTGCGTGCTGTGGGTCTGGCTCACTGCTCGCCGACCAGTGCCGCTTCCCTACGGCTCCTACTGCCGCTGACTGGTGGTCGGCTGTGACCTACCCTCCCCCTCTCCGCTGCTCCCTCTGATCGCCTGTGACCCACCATTTACCCCTAGCTGCTGCCCGTCTGACTGCCTCGGACCTGACCTCTCCCCTTCTATCCCCCAACTCAGCTGCCCCGTCTGGCACTATAACCCCCCCCCCCCCCCCCCAGCTGCTGCCCCGTCTGGCCGCCTCGATGGCCGCCGTTCGCTGGCAGTCGGAGGTGCTGAGCGGCTCCGTTCCCCTGGACCAGTACAACAACAAGTGGTGGCAGCTCAAGTGAGTGCCCCCTCCCTTCCCCGTCGTTACGGTCGCCGGTCCTGTGATTCAGTCATGTGTTCGGTCAAGTAGTGGGCCGGGTGGTCATGACGATATCTAGGTATTAGGAGGGTTGATTTGTTATCTGTATGTACTCGTACAGCTTGTGCTAGCAGTTAATATATGATGCATTTATAAGGGTGGAACTTTTCGAAAACTGAAAAGTCGTATAGGATATTAGCTTAGCTGTTACGATAAGCGGGCTTTAAACCGGCAAATCGACATCAGATGTGTAGGAGAATCGATGTTGTCTGTCCTCGTGTGTGTGTTCCTCCGCTCTCGAGTTGTCAGCGCCGCTGCTCCACCGTACCGGACCGTCTGGTCGTGGGTGACCGAGTGTCTGTGTTCCAGGCGCGAGTACCAGGGAGTGAGCCCGCCGGAAAGCCGCGGAACTGAGCAGTTCGACGCACTGGCCGACGGCACCCTGACGCTGCCCAACTACCACATCAGGTGAGCTGACGCTGCCCAACTACCACTTCAGGTGAGTCTGTTATGAAGCCCTTGGTGAGCCGCACCGCAGACGCCTCAGCGCGTCTGCCGACGATAACCGAGACGCGCTGTACAATATCCTTCGTCCATTCCACGTCCGAGTGAAGATGAGTCACCTATCTAGCTCTAGTATATGATCGAGGTTTGGAAGTATTTATGGTAAAAAGTAAAAACATTTTTTCTTATAAGTAGCCAGAGTTTTGGTATATGGGTCAGGTTTCAGGTCAGGTAGTCAGAGCTTGTGCGGGCATGGTATATCTCCTTCGAATCTCGTTCGGCACCCATAGCGGCCGCCACTCGAGCTGCGCCCCGTGGTGCCTATCAGGCGCGGGTTTGGCGCCGGCCCGATACTAGTATCGCCGCCGGTGCGCCACTATCTGCCGCGGCCGCGTCACTATCGACTATCTCACGGCCCCGGCGAGCGCGCACGGTTCCACAACGATTGCCGACAATGCCTCCGCGGAACGATCGTTTTCTGCTCATTGTTACTGTATATGTGAAAACTCGTATACAGCCCGGTGTAGCTCGTAACTCGTATATGTATATGTGGCTCTGAATTCGTTTTTCTTTTCTGTTCTCGGATTGCTGCATACTAGAATCTAAATAGGGCTTCGGCATTGTTTACCAATTACCCTTCCGACTTTTATTCTAAATCGTACATCAGCACACATGTTTTTATTGCTTTATTCATTACCGTCGCATTATCTTGAATAAGACATCTTCGAGCAAGGCGTGCCTGTACTAATAATTTGTAATGACATTTGTTGCCCTGTGGCGCATGACAGACAAATGCAGCTGCTCTTCAACTGTGTCGTAGTAGTGATAATATACTAATATAATAGTAATAATCGTAGTCGTAGTAACCCCCGTGTCTGTGGATTTTCGCCTCACTCTCAGCTATGGAGCTGTGCTCTCACCCTGCGGCGTCCGCTCCCTCTGGAGTCACGCCTCTACCCGTGGCGCCCGCTCCCTCTGGAGTCACGCCTCTACCCGTGGCGCCCGCTTCTCCCCCCCCCCCTCTGGAGTCACCCCTCTACCCGTGGCGCCGCTGCCTCTGAAGTCACGCCTCTACCCGTGGCGCCCGCTCCCCCCCCCCTCTGGGGTCACGCCTCTACCCGTGGCGCCCGCTCCCCCCCCCCCTTCTCTGGGGTCACGCCTCTACCCGTGGCGCCCGCTCCTCCCCCCCTCTGGAGTCACGCCTCTACCCGTGGCGCCGCTCCCTGTGGCCGGCGCCGTCTGCGCCGTCCCGGAGGCGCAGGGCCGAGTCCGACTATTCCCGATGCCGAGTCGGAGCGCCGGGCTGACCGTGTCTCTGTGTTTTATGTGACCTCAGGCGGCTGATCGGCGGTATCGTCATGTTCAGCGTCCACAAGCACCACTGCACCATGTACGGAGACTCGGCCAAACCGCTCTCCGAGTGCGCCATCTTCGATGACACCAAGCTGGGCGAGAGCATCAAGTGGGTGCCGTTGACCTCTGCAGAGAGGGCGCTCAGCATGAACGTGCGCTAAATTCACAGCCAACCACACTACCCTACCACGTAACTTAATTCGTGATTGCAAACGATCTAAACGCTAAATGGTGCTTTATATATGAGCCAATGACTCATGGTTGTTGTTCAGTGCTGCTAGTGACTCGACTTGCATCTGGTGGTTTTACCGGAACTTTGGCACTCCGCTACTTGCCCTCTCTTGCTGGTTGACATATGACACGCCTGGTAACTGGCACCGGTAACTGACCTGGAACGGTAACTGACCCCTGACACCGGTAACTGACCCCTGACACGGGAAACTGACCCCTGACACCGGGTAACTGACCCCTGACACCGGTAACTGACCTCTGACACGGGAAACTGACCCCTGACACCGGGTAACTGACCCCTGACACCGGTAACTGACCTCTGACACCGGTAACTGACCTCTGACACCGGTAACTGACCCCTGACACCGCGGCCGCAGGAGCGTCCTGGTGTCGGGCAACTCGAAGCCGTTCAAGGACCAGCTGCTGGCGGTGACTGGGGAGCGCGACCTGTCGGCGGCGGCGCTCGTCGAGCGCATGCAGCCCCTCACCGAGTGGGTGATGGCCTACAACGAGGAGGTGAGCGGGCCGGCGCGGCGGGACAGCGTGAGTGTTGTAACGGAGGGCGGCGTACAGCGCCCAGTGTGTAACTGAGGGCGGCGGGACAGCGCCCAGTGTGTAACTACAGCGTGAGTGTGTAACTGAGGACGGGCGGGACAGCGCTCAGTGTGTAACTGAGGACGGGCGGGACAGCGCTCAGTGTGTAACTGAGGGCGGCGGGACAACGCCCAGTGTGTAACTGAGGGCGGCGGGACAGCGTTAGTGTGTAACTGAGGGCGGCGGGACAGCGGGACAGCGCCCAGTGTGTAACTGAGGGCGGCGGGACAGCGCCCAGTGTGTAACCGGAGTCGGCGGATCAGCGTCCAGTGTGTAACCGGGGAGGGCGTGTGGCGAGCCTCAACTGGATCTCTCGATGGTATCGAAGGAGTGGTGATAAGTTTTCTGTTTGTGGGACGAGGACTTTTTCTGTTTCCCGGCGTTTCGACTCTGCCCGAGTTAAAATAAGGATTATTTTGGTTAAGCTATGCTGATGTTCGGTTCTGTTGAGTTTTTACGTGCTGATGTAGGGGTGTGGTATCATTTTTGAAACTGGAACGTTATCTGTGCGACATGTAAACTATGCTTTTTTCGCTTGTGCAAATATGTAATCCTGTATCAGTTCCTGATATACATGTAGTGTAACGAACGCTCTATGGCTACAGTAAGCAAATCTCGTTGCTTATACTTCACATCACAAGATATGAGCCGAATCATCCGTGCTAACGATGAAGCCGGGACATTTAATCTTTCTATCGTACTGTTGATATTCCCGTGCCCGTCTGACCGTCTCCGTCTCTGTGTGTCTGTCTGCCAGCACGGCGGCGAGGGCGGCGGCGTCTCCGAGAACACTGAGATGATCGCCATCATCGTGGGCGTCGTCATCGCCATCATCGTCATCGGGCTCATCATCTTCTTTGTGGTGGCGAGGAGGAAGCAGAAGTACCAGGTCAGTTACAAGGTGACTAGACAGCTTGCCGACACACTAGTGTAGCAAGTGCAGTTTCGCGGGGCGGCCTGGCGTAGTTAGAAGTAGAGTAGTTCTTGTGCCACAACTGACCAAGCTTATAGTGTCGTAATTCAAGTATTATCAAAACTGACGTAGTTCGTAGTTTTTTAGTCAACTCCTTTTGCAGAGTTCCAATGGCCCTTGTCGGAGTAGGCCGTGTCAGCTTCGGTATTACTATGCTAGTTAATTTGAGTGACGAGTTGCGTAGCTAGATGCTAGTTGCCGCTCCTCAGGGTTCAGCTCGTACGTTCTCGTTCAGTCTATGCAGAAATCTCACCACGTTCTTTTGTCGCATGCCAGGACTACAAGGGCGCCCCGACCCGGGAGGGCCAGGCCGCGCAGCACGCATAGACCGGAGCTGGGACCGTAGGCCGGGGCCGGCTCCACCGGGGCAGAGCGGTGCCCCGTGGTCAGTGCACGAGATAGGTGCTCGGGAGGGGAGCAGAGGGGGCCGGAAACGGCACCGCCTGGCTGACAGAGGCAGCTCCGAATGATCAACGGAGCAGACTTTGGGATGAGAGAGATTGTGAGTGAATCGTGGGCCAGTGTAGAGTCGGTGGAACCTAGCTGACCGGTTGAAGGGACCGACACTGAGCAGCTTCGGTGAATTTCAGCTTCGGTGAAGAACGTGTGTATGAATGTGTGACGATTGTTGGTCGTTCCGCCTCGCCTCGCTTGTTGAGTGCCATAGAATCAGTAGTTTGACGGTTCACGCTTTAGATGTCTGCTTCGCGTAGTTTGATGGTAGGAGAAGCATGTTTGAATTCCATGTGTGCGATCATTTACCTACTGTAATGATTTAGCAACCGGGTGACCAGTATATGTAGTATACCTATGTACGTGGATTAAGTCATTTGCTTTGGCACCGGATGCTGTACTTTCTGTAAAAATTTTAATTTTAATTTTAAAGAGCACGCTTTAGTTGCAATGTTGTACTAAGAGGTTCAAAATTCTAAGCATCCGATAGTGTTGACATGAGTTCTGGAAAACCGTCAAATAAATCTTTTACTTTCCGAAAGCAATCGTTTTCAGACTTGTTCACAGTGACAGTGTCATCGTGTTGTGACGAGGTCCTGCATGACCATGATCTCAGCAGCTAAATTGTCCACTTGCGAAAGCTCCCACCTCAACGAACGTTGTCCTGCGTGGCAGCGCGCTACCGCACCCATCCAGATCTCCAGACTTACGCTCGTCACGCGCAGACTGAATCGGGAGCAACCATTTCCATGCTCACTTTATTAGTGCATATAGAAAATGTTTTATCTAGGCGGTTCAGTAGAACTTACAGTTTGAAATGACACAGTAGTTCACAGCATTTATCACTCGGTGATATTCGATATATGGGACACTAAAGGCCTGGCTACACTATGCGTTTTCTGCGTGCGTTTTTGCGGGTTTACGGGTTTTGCGTAATATCGTTCTAGAATAAAAACACGATATTACGTTTTTTGATGTTTTTATATTAAATTTTAGTCAATTTAAGAGTGATGTTAACTTTTGTACATAACTAATGCTCAACAAATGTAAAAGTAGTATTATTTATAACTTTTTTTTTTCTAGAACGATATTACGCAAAAAAAAAACGCAAAACCGCAAAAAACGCACGCAGAAAACACATAGTTTACTATGTAGCCAAGCCAGACCTTAACTGCTCCAATACGCCTAAGCATCGTATCCGTAACGATAAGTGCAAATAACTAGAATGAGGCTATTGATGAATGGCCATGAACATATAAAATGCAGTCTAATTGAACTCACTGTTTCAATAAGCTCGCTAATGATGCTGACACATATTGCGTTTTACAGGATACACAATTAATATTATCAAAACATCGTTCACTGAGAAGTTTCTAGGACAGGGTGAAACACGTTACGACTCCGAAGGTGCCGGTCGCCTCTCAAGGTCTTCCACCTGGAATGTCTGATAGGCCAAACCACCATTAGTTTTGTTCATTTTGGCGTGGAGATGGATGGGATCGCTGGCGACATTCGTAATATTTTTCACAAACAGCTTCTGAATCTCCTCGATGGATTTCCCGTTGGTGTGCGGCAGACACAGTTTGGCGAACGCAGCCATCAGCACCTGCATCAGAGCGAAGAACCAGAAGACGCTGGCCATGCCGACACTGTCGGCCACCAGCGGGAAGCAGTAGACCATGGCGAAGCTGGCGGTGCCGTAGTAGAGCAGCAGGATGCCGCCGAGCTCGGCTCGCACGGCGTTCGGCAGCAGCTCCGTCAGCAGCACGTTGGTGAGCGGCGCGATTCCCAGCGACATGGTGCCCACGATCACCAGCACCGAGACCAGAGACACCCAGGCGTAGTCGGCCAGCGCGGCGCTATAGTAGAAGAAGAAGCCGCTGATCAGGCAGGCTACGCCGCCAACCACGCTGTTGATGAAGAGCAGGCTGTTCCGCTCGCATTTGCGGATCACGATGCTGGCGGCGACGGAAGCCACCACTCTGAGCACGCCCAGCAGGATCGAGCCGATGTACGGGTTGCTGAACCCACCGACATCCTTGAAGATGACCGGGGCGAACGAGGCCGTGGTGAAGCCGCCCGAGAACACGAAGAACGTGTAGATGCCGAGCATCAGGCCGAACGGGACGAGGTTGTGCCGGTGTCTGAGCAGGCTCAGCACCTGCAGCAGCGACGCGTCGTGCCGGTGCTCGTCGCCGAGCGACTCCCGGATGCTCTGTATCTGCTGGTGCACGTCGTAGTCCTTGCCGTGGTAGAAGTGCAGCGAGCGCTGCGCCTCCTCCTCCGGGTGGCCCTTGGAGATGATCCACTTGGCGGAGCGCGGCAGCACGAGGGTGACGACAAACATGAGCAGGATGGGCCCGATCCCGACCGCCAGACAGGCGTGGCGCCAGCCCATCAGCCAGCCGCTCAGGAAGATGCTCAGCATGCCGATGCTGATCATGACGTTGATGAAGATGGCCAGCACGCCGCGGAGGTTGACGGACGTGATCTCGCCGATGTGTGTGATGGTGGGCCCCAGACTGGTGCCGATGCCGACCCCGGTCAGCGCGCGGCCGGCCAGCACCGTCCAGAAACTGTTACCGAGCGCCAGCACCAGCCAGCCGGCGGCCACCACCGGCGCGCACAGCTGCACGATGCGCACGGTGCCCAGCCGCGGGTTGGCGTAGCTGGACATCAGGAAGCCGCTCATGTTTCCCATGGCGAAGATGGCCGCCACCCAGGAGATCTGCGAGCGGGTGAGCGCCAGGTCGGCCCGAGCGGAGGTCATCTGCTCCGTGAAGACGCCCGTGAATGCCTGCGACGCCCCCAGGTTGAAGCCCATGGTGGAGAGAGACACGGCAGTCAGCACCTGGAGGCAGCAGAGCGCGGCGCTGGGTCACGGAGAGCGGAGCTGGCTCACAGACAGAGGGGCGCCAGGTCACAGATATTGCGGCGCGCGGCGCTCGGTCACCGGCGGGCTCCATCGTCGAAGACAGCGTCCCAGCTCCTCCATTCCGAACACTGGCGGATCTGGGGGGGGGGGGGCATTTCGGGCATTTGCCCTTCCGCAGTGTCTGAAATTGACGCAGTTTTGTCGTTTACCTCGCATAAAAAGAAAACTGTACAACTTCTTGCTTTAACTCTCGCCGGCCGAGGCCAGGGGGATTGGCGAATGCCCTCCCCTCCCCGACGTTTTTCGAATGCTCTGAACTTGCTGACCACAGAGAGCTGAAAGTTGGCACACCTGATCTTTGGTTCAAGTTGAATATCTAACACTTATTGCATCGCCAGGTCAGGTTACTGACCTACGATGTCATAACTGGACGTTATGACACTCTAACTTTACGCTCGTCCTAAGATACCGTAACTTTGCAACGCCCTCAGTGCCACGGAGCCTTTTACAGGAAGGTAAAAGTTGCAGGGCATAGAAACCTCCTAAATCCTGACAGCCCTGATATTTTGACTTTTCATTAAGTTCACCTGCGGTCAGATCGGTCACGAGACCTCACCATTGTAGGTCAATATGAAATACGGACACTTTTTTTGGCGCCAGAAAAAAAGCTAAGACTATCTCAAACACGTAAAATCGTCACTTCATACCCTCCTTGCAAGGTTCGATACCTAACTTTTGCCTTCTTGCATCGTTGACTTTGCACTGTTGACATTGTTGATTGTTTGGCGTTGACCTAAAGTAAACACCCAAGCTGACCTATTCTGAAATAGTACACCACTATACATTCGACTTTGAGTATGCCAAACACGATCATACAATGGTGCAAGAATTAAACCCTTGTGATCATTTTTGACGAAGTTATTTTCCATTCGAAGCTCTACATTGCGGCACTTGACCTGACCTAAGAGTCCAGAGTTGGACCTGAATACCTGATAGTATAAAATTGGATACCAGTTACTCCGTGTTCTAACGAGATACGGTCGTTTTTCTGTGAAGCTCTATAAGGGACTAAACGGCGAGAGGGCTGTCCCGCCGTCCTCTCGGTCTCTCTCAGCATGTGGGAAGCTGCTAGGTCTGTTGAGGGTTGGCCATTGAAAGCCTTGTAACAATGAGCCATATGTGGTGTGACATGCCAATCATGGTAGCTGTTCACATATGTAAATAGCGAGCGCCGTAAGTCTTCGTTGACGTCTGGGCAGTCGCGTGTCATGTCAATATTTAGGAACGTACGTTATGACATTAATTACATTAATTTAAGTGTTAATTTAGGTAAATGTCTTCTAACCTCTAGCTACCCACGGTTTTAACTCCTGTACCTGTGCTGACTGCCGATAACTGGGAAAAACCGTCTCGCGGATAGACAGCCGATTTTAAAGTGAAACCGAGAACAATTGACGTCCGGTTTGTTTGAGACGGAAGATGTTTTGGTCTATACAGGGAAAGTAATGGAACCTTACATAAAATCCATGTAATAGCCTAGGGACAAAGTAAAAAAAAAAACAGATCACGACAACATTTTAATTTTTGACATAGCCGGGCATAGCCCCGGCCGCCAACTTTGATTGATCCCGTAAGGCAACACTTTCACCGTGCGGGACTTCTTCACAGCACTGGCCACTGAGTGCATATTAACACGCCAAAAGCCGAAACAGAAGTCACATGCGCGACGATCTTACGGATTCCCCAGGATTAGCGAATCGCTTCTGGCTTGCTCTGCTAATTAAATGTTCTGCACTTCCTTGACTGACAACCGAACAGACAGTGGGCTGAATGCGTAGTTTCTAGGTTGAGTATACTCTTGGTACATTGACCTGCGCACAATCTGTTGCATCCTGCAGTTTCAAGTCTGTGGTATATGGGGCCTTGGTCCGTAGTTGCTCTCACCTGCATTAGCAGCCCCCGTTTGGAGCACCGTTCCGCGCTGTCCATGGTGCTGCCGTCCTACTACTGCTGATCCCGAAACGGACTGACCCCGCTCGACGACTGAGGACCGACCCGACCCGCCCGCCGGCCGCGCAATGCCGACTCCCGGCTATCAGTGGCCAACTTCGCTCTAAATAAACAAGCGGGTAGCCAACTAGCGACAGGCCGGCTAAAAATTGGCCGCCGAGCCCCGTCAGCGTCGGAGGCGGACAGACACGTGACGGGGGGCGCTGCGCTCCTTTATCCCCGGCGGAGCGGGCGTGGCGTGGGCCGCCCCCCGTTGCAGGGACAATGACACCACCGGGCTGCGTGCACGGTCACGGCCGCCGGCAAACGGCACTTGGCCGCGCCGTGTGGACGACCGGACAGCCTCCGATTAGGGGTCACGCCTCCGAAGACGAAGTGAACACCTCTGAATGGGTGTCCGGCGCGGCGGGCGGCGCCCCAGCCTCCGAAGGTGCGGGGACACGGCGACCGATTCTGACGAAACCGTCACCCCACCGAACACTGACCTCGAAATTTAGGAGCTTGATCACGCCCCCGTGCTGATAACTGCGCGACAATCGGTTTCACTGCGCTGTTATTGCAGTTGCAATCGCAAAGACGTAATCAAAAGTATAATAAGAAGGCGACCGACATATAATAATAAGCTAAAACTATTGGACACACAATGAAAAATGCCAATGAACAATAAGGTAGGTACAGGTCTCACGAGATTAAGCGGTAGGTTTTGCACTTTTACATTTCCGGTTATATCTCAGAAACTAATCGATGTACGATGAAGCCATTTTACACGATCATGGCCGGCTTGTTACCCAACAAGTCGATCGCATCTTCAACACTTAAAAGCTTAAGACGACGAAGATATAGCCTGAAGTACACTAAATTTTCTAGGTGCAAAACCTACCGCTAAAACCCGCGAGACCTGTACATCCAGGGCGCGCAAAAAGTTCTGGCCCTCTTACAGTAAGCGCTCCTACGCGTGCTGTGGTTGCTTTTCGGGAAGCCAATAGCCGCACGCAATAGCTTCAATGATCCTGCTACACAGCCAGATGTCGAACAAAGCAGACCATTAACGGCCAGTCATGGAGGCAGGCTAAACGACACATTGTCGTTGGATACCCGCGCGCAGCGGCCGAATCGGGCATGACCGTTGAGCAGGTTGCGATGAAATTTGTAGCCCCCTGCGAACAATTACGCGTATCAAAGCCAAATACGAATAGGGGAGGTCCTGGAGGATGCCGCCAAGTCAGGCCGGTCACGTCTAGTCAAAACTCTGAGAATGTGACTGCCGTGTCTCAGGCCATCCAGGACAGCCCACGGCTCGGGCGGCAAAAAGTGCCCAACCGTCTCTCAGTCACCCGACCTGAACCCCTTGACTAAAGCATCTAAAGCGTTTTGCAGGACGAGTTTCAGGGAGCTTCCCATCCCAATTTGGAGGCCCTGAAGACACGCATCGTGAAGATATGAGAAACGAAGGACCCCACCTACATCATCAAGACATGCAAGTCTTTCTGCCTCCGTGTGGAGAAGGTCATTGCCGATAAGGGGGTTACTTTGCGCATGAGGCGAGTGAAAGTATCTGGTTTGATAATGCAAACTAGTATTTGGTGTTAGCGTTGATAATATTCACTCCGATTGCATTCGTTTATCGAAGTACAGAAATGGACCAGAACTTTTTGCGCACCCTGTACATGAACTGTAAATGCATGGGGAACCAAAGAACCAAAGAACCAAAGCCTTTTCGACCCAAAAAAGGTTTCGCGGGAAGAGCTGTCAGGCCTACAGCTTTAGAGATACAGAAAAATGTTTCAGACATAAAAAGTGTAGAATTACCAGGGCTTCAAAACTGCAATCTCAGATTTTTGAATATTTTGGATTTTGACCCCTAAAAATAAGAAATAGATTTTTTGAATATCATAGCCGAAAAATCCAAAAAGGTTTTTGAATAAAAAACCGGAATATATGTGATAGTCTCGACCGCCTTCTAATCATATACCAAATTTGAGATCGATACCTCTTTTTTGCCAAGTTATAGCGAAAAAACTGTTCAAAATTGATGACGTTAAATTTTCAAACTCATTTTTTTTTTTTTGCAATTCTAGACCTCGTAGCGCAAAACAAAGACCATCATTAGACTTCCCGTGACGAGCTGCATCGAATCAAAACCCATTTTATGAAAAACTATCAATTTTGAAATTTGACCTTTTTTGACCTGACCTTGACCTGAACTCCACCAGAAAGTGACCTAAACCGTACCTGATGGTCTTATTACCAACACTATTGAATTGGAAATGAAAAATTGGCCATAAAACATGCATCGCACAACCTTAGTAAAGTTGGGTTCATGTGATGATCTTTGGTGACCTGACCTGTGACCTGACCTGGTATTATCAGTGACCTTTAATAGCAACATATGTACTACTAGGCAACTGACGCCCTATCGCTAATTTTCGACAAAATGCGTTTTACTCGGTGTTATAGAGCATTCCCTATAGAAGACCCGTGAACGGTGAAACATTTTATCTTTGACCTGACCTGTGACGTCGTCGGTGACCCCGAGATCAATGAAATTTGGTTTCATTCAACAAATTTGACAGGGCTATCGAACGCCGTTTGAATTTTACGAATCCGTCTTGTAGTTTTGGAGATAAGGGGGGGGGGGAAATGCCCCCCCCCCCCCCACCGCGCGGAAGGTGGCCGGGAGGCCCACTGCCTGCCGGGTTAAAAGCGTCTCTTTTGCACGAGCGCCATTCTAGACACTCTCAAACATCGACACTCAGGTAAAATTGACGAACTGAACCGGAAAATGGCACCTGTGGGCTGTGGCCCCTCGTTACGTCCCCGAGGTCATCTCAGGTCACGAATAGTATCTAACAGTTTTTCGCTAATAACTTCTGATAGAGGCATGCTAGAGCGATGAAAACGCCTTAGATGTGTTCGGCTCGACGATGCGGATAGACTGATATGCAACATTACCTTTTCTGGTCAGGTCATGACCTTGACCTGAGGTCAAATTTTCAAGTTGACCTTTCAAGATCAAATTATAGTTCATTCGAAGCGTCTCAACGAGAGAAACACGATGCTGGCAAAAATAATGTCGTGACTCTTTTGAGTCAAAAGTTATTGCCGAAAAAACACTTTTCGTAAACACTTTTTTGCTATTTTTAAGTTTTTGCCCTCTGGAGGCTAAACCTTTGACCTGAGGTCAAATCTGAGGACATGATAGCGAAAGAGCGTTAAAAGAGCTATCGAATGCGCTTTTCCGCGGTGCTGTAGCTCTATCGATTTCCGAGTTAGCCTTTGGCAGTTTCGAAATGTTAACCCGCGCACCGACGGGGGTCTGCGCCAACTTACAAACGACGGGGGGAGGGGGTCGGATGACCCCCCCCCCCCTGAGATCTCGAGAACGAAGCAAGATAGCGACAAGCGGTAAACGGCATGGGATAGGACAAGGTCTACAAGTTTTACTTAGGTCATTTTCAGGTCAGGTCAAAGATGACGTCACAGGGATCAAAAAAGTCAAAATGGCGGCGCTAGATACGGAGAGCGTTTTTCTCGAATAACTTTCGAACTAGCCGAGCAAGGAAGTAGGAACAAACTAAGGGCATCATTGTGATTCTCTCGTCAATCCGCATCGAATCATACATATGTTGAACTCGAAAGGTCAAGGTCAAAGGACCTCGAGGTCATCATGCATATCATTCGACGCGCCTTGATAAGCTGAACGCAATGAGTCCATCCGCGCGGATGTATCTTGTTCCTGTAAAGGAGTTATTGGCAAAAAACCTTCGGTGACCTTAAATGACGTCACATGACCTTACAGCTGGCCAACAGCAAAACAGGCCTCAAGATAGTGAGGGCTGATCTTAATGAAGTCATATGTGGTATATGGGGCTATTCCGACGCGTTTTAGTGGTAAAAACAGGGAGTTCATTCTCCCCCCCCCCCCCCATTGACGTATAATGGGGAGGTCGAGAAATTGACCTGACCTTAGATCATCGATATCAAAATTCCGAGATAAACAAATTGTAGCTACCAATGACCTAATAACATCCTGCGACTTTCAAATGCCTCCGTCATCTACTGTAGCTCTGACACGGTGACAAATTTGCCAAAAAAGTGACTTTAGGTTGGGTCACTCGAAGTGACCTGGTGACCTGACCTTAAAAGTAAGGAGGTTCAAACTTGCACACCATGTGTAAAATTGATAAGAGAATAGTCATACCAAATAGTCATACCATCGCGGCGCTATGCGCCGCGGGCGCGGGTTAATCTAAGATTTAAGGTTTTGATATAATAAGATAGGTATATAATAAGATTTTTTATGCTCAAAATGATCAGAACATAAGATAATGTATAATAAACCGCGAGAAGGTAGAACAAGTCGGCTCGACGTTAAAAAAAACTTCCTACGAGCGGTTTAATTATTTTATCCCGTACCGCTGACATCTTTCGGGCGCTGGAAGGTAAAAAATGCATTTTATAAAACCAGTATAACGCCTTTTGGGGCGACTAACGGAGCGAGCGAGAGGGTGGGCATTGCACGTGCGAAATTGCGAGGGGGTACCTCCAACTGACTTGTGCACGGCACCCTACTAACCGGTCTCTAGCGATATGCCAAATTTGGGCACAATCGGCCCAGCCGTTCTCGAGATCTGGAAGCGGCACCCTGCACGTGCGCACGTGCAAAATGGGTCCCAACTAGAGATTGCAATCCCGGAACGTTTTACCAATCCCGGGATCCCGAAAGTTTTATTTCGGGATCCCGGGATCCCGGGATCCCGGTCTTGTCACTAAATGTCGTAAGAGTGATTTCCTACTGACATATTTTGCGTCTTTTAGCTTACCACAAACAAAGAGGCAACCAAAAGCCATCCTTAGACCATGTCATTTGCATTAAAAACGATTGAATTTGCGAATAAAACGTTTCGATTTGATTAGCACTAGCATTTATTCCCAATTGGCCTTCATAAAACTGCGCGTCGACCAGTACGTTTACTAGACGGGTTCCAGCACATCCACGCCTCACTCACTCTTCCTCTACGCTACTCGTAGTTAGCGCGACAGTTTTAACCCGCGCCCTGATGGGGTCTGCCGAGCAACGCGGTCTGATGGGGGGGGGGGGGCTTTTGGCCCCCCCCCCCCTAAGATCTCGAGAACCACGCAACATAGCGACAAGCGGTAAACGGCGTTGGATAGCCCCAACGGGGAACTACCTTGTGACCCAATTCCATTGACCTCGGTCAAACTGATGACGTC